CATGTAGCTGGAACTACAGGCACGTGCTACCACGCCCGGCTGATTTTTTGATTTATTGTAAGATGAGGTCTCGCCTGCCCAGGCAGGTCTCGAACCCATGGGCTCAAGCAATCCACTCACCTCAGCCTCCCAAAGGCGCAGGATTACAGGCTGAGCCAACGAGCCCGGCAAACTCAACTTTTAATTTGCAAAACTTCTAGGGTCTTGCTACACTTGTGTAAATGTTACTGAACAACTCAAAGAAGAGGGTTTTTGTTTGTTTGTTTTTGTCAGAAGCTCATTCTGTGCCCAGGTTGGAGTGCAGTGGCATACTCATGGCCACCATAGCTTCAACCTGCTGGGTTCAGGTGATTCTTCCACTTCAATCTTCCAAGGAGCTGGAACTACAGGCACATGCCACCATGCCCTGCTAATTTTTTTATTTGTAGAGATGAGGTCTTGCCAAGTTGCCCAGGCTGGTCTAGAACCCATGGACTTGGACAATCCACTCACCTCAGCCTCCCAAAGTGCTGGGATTATAGGCGTGAGCCACCAATTTAAAGAAAATTTATGATAAGTCGAGGTGGCTCCATGGTTTTGGAAAGGGAGCTCCTACTGCAGAATCTATTTGGAATACCATTAAGAATTCTATGCCTTCTTTTGCTTCAGTCATTCTTTCATTGAACCTATTGTAATAATCGTAAGCCTGTTGATTTTTGGTCCATGTCTTTTTAACTGCCAGATTAAATTTGTTTCTTTCAGAATCAAGCAGTTTCATGTTTGTAAAATGACCGTGCAAAGATTCCAACAACTGCCTGCAATCTATGCCACCACTGGGACCAACCTGGATGTGTTAGATTAGATAGGGGGAGAATGGTGATCCCTGGCTAGGTAGGCCTACATCCCTCATCAGCTTTGAAGAAGTTACAAAAGATGGACCTTCCTCTCTCAACACCCTATATGATTATGGGATTGAAATCTCATGTGAGGAAAGTTGCTGCGGGACAGCTAGTGTAGCTTAGATACAGATAGTGAGTTTCTTACAGGCAGGCTTAGATAATTAGGAAACCACGTGTTCAGGCATCTGCATCTGGGCACCATCTTATTGGGTCATAACTCTTATACACATCTACACCTTGCCTGAGAGCCAAGAATATGGGGCAGCTGTCTACAAAGACCAAAAACAGGATAGTAGGGAATTACTAGAGACACCGAGGCACGGTGCTCAAAGAAAACCCTTAATTAAACAGCATCTTTTCCTATTATCTCAAAAGATCCTCATGATACTGAGGCATAATGCTCCAAAACAAAGCATAATTAAAGAGGAGCCCTCCCTATTGTCTCAAAAAATCCTTGTGACACAAGCAAAACTTAGAAGTAAAACTGAAACTTGTGATCAAAACTTAGCTTAGAAATAGGCTTCACAGAATCATCACAAACCTAAGCAACCTGGCCAGGGTCTCCACACTCAACCCTGTATCACATTGCCTCTCAAGACGTCAGCAGCCTACTCCAGACTTAGGGAATCAAAATCTCTTGGGGTGGGCCTAGCAATCGGTATTTTAACAAAATTCTGATGCACAACTAGAATCATTTTGGAAATACATAAAGCACTCTGCTAACAGAAGGAGATGTGTCTTTTCCCTTAAGGGCACCTGCCTTCTCTAATGATCATGTCATTTCTTTTTCTATTCTCTCTAATGAACTGTACTCAAACCTCTCTCTGTGACTCACTTTGAAATACCTTTCTGTGGTAAGCCAAGGACCCATGGAACAATTACATCCCATTCTACCCAAAATCAGAAGAATACTCAGTATTCATTAACAGAACAACTGAATGGCTGAATGAGTGAATGAGTGAAGGAAGGAAGGTGCTTCTACCTCACTTGTAGAACATGATAAAAAGAAAACTCACAATAGTAAGCAACATTTATTGGGCGCTTAGTATTTTAAGACTTGAACTGCATTAAATCATTCATCTTTACATCAAACCAATGAGCTGAATATTATTATTCCCTTTTATAGAGAAGAAACGGAGGCACAGAAAGGATAAGAAATTCACCCACGTTCACTGGGCTAGTGACAGAATCATTACAAACCTAAGCAGTCTGGCCAGGGTCTCCACACTCAGCCACTGTATCACATTGCCTCTCAAGACGTCAGCAGCCTACTCCAGATTTAGGGAATCAAAATCTCTTGGGGTGGGCCTAGCAATCGGTACTTTAACAAAATTCTGATGCACAGTCAGAATTAGACCTACAACTGTGAATCTAAAAATCAGCAGTAAGCATGAGGCCATAGGGCTAGAACAAACAGTGTTGCTTCCAGGATTTAAAAGTTTATCTGATTATATGAACATAAGTCCTTCTCAGTAGTGTTGACTGACTATATCCCTTTGTGAGGGGGGAACTCAAATCCAGATCAATTACAAAGAACACTCTGGAGACCTTCAAACAGAAAGCCTGCTCAGAGGACCTGCTGATGAGCTGTGTCTTCCCAATGGCTATAGCTAGCAGGCCCACGTCCTTGGTAGAGTCAGGACCGACTGTACCTGCCCTAGTTCCTGGACTTTAATCTCCCATTTGACCTCCTTCTCACCCCTGCTCTGATCTGACAACTCCTGCTGGGTTGACCCCATCTCTGACCCCAGTCTGCCCAGTTTTCAGCCTCACTGCTCCAGGCTGATATCTCACATCATGACAGCTCGAAGCAGGACAATATTTGTATCAATCACCAATACTGGGATCAAAATACCATCTCTTCTAATGATATGGTGACAAATTAAGTATTCAAATCAAAAGAACTGTGACTTTGAGAGTGAAATTCAGGTATCTTAAACCAACTCAGCATTGCCACTGAGCATGAAATACAGAAACAGTAAGA